AGCAAAGATGAATCTTTCCCGTAGCGTAAGCTAGCTTACGCAATACTCGTTCCCTCATCTAGAGAGAACCGAGGTTACGTTAGGTAACCGATTCGTTCTCTCTAGAAGAGGGAACGAATACTGTGTAATATCTTGCGCTAGGGGAAAACCTCTTTTCCACGAGATATTAAAGCAAAAATTATCCTTGATTTTGAATTAATGTTAAACCCGTTGCGGCAGCATGCAGACAAAGGGAAGATGGCTTGCGTGTCTATTGGCTGTCGCAACTGCAGCAGTCTATCGAGAGAGGCCCTTGGTGATGTCAAATCCAATGAGGGAGCTCAAGAGCTCAAAGCGTTCTAGGAACGTTTTGGGAACCAAAAACTAACGTTCCTAAATTTGTTTGCTGGGCTCTAGGTGAGCGAGACGAGCGAGACACATAAGCTTTTAATAACTTTACCATGTTTACCAAGTTTTTTTCTTTCATTAAAACACAAAAGAAGAATATCATTCTGTTCTCCAAACCAAAATAACAAAATCATTACAATAATCATTCCTAATCATTGTAAGAAAATAGCTTTGTGCAAGTGAAAAACGTTAAATATAATTGAAATAAAGCTGAATTAAAATGTTATCAACATTTTCAGTACACGGCAATTGAACGAGTTAAATTAGTCCTGAAATTACAAAAAATAAATAAATAAATAAAGCTGTATAAAAGTATTTCAAATACTGAAATATTAAAAATATAAATGCCAAAAGCACATACCAAAATGACTAAAAACTAAACTAAAATTAAAATGAAAAGTGAATTATAAAAATAGCTTTCAAAATATTAATAAATAATATGATAGTGTATAAATAATACTAAAATAACACTGATTTTACTGCATGCCAAGCAAGATCCATGGACAACAATACAACCTGTCTTCGCAGTTCAAATCCGCACGTTTGAATGAGATTTTAGAGCCATGGTGGTTAAGTAAACAGCAATAACACTACAACAAGAACCGTTCATTAGATATCTCAGTTGCTTTTGAAAATGTAGAGCAAAGAGAGAGACAACTCTGCATGAACCTTCTAGAACTCAGATTTTCTCCCGTGACTCTCACATGCAATCTTAAATTAGTTAGATCTAATTCAATTTCAAATTTTAAAAGATTTTAAAATGAGTTCAAACATTTCTCATCAAATTCTTGCTAATTATTTCTGTCAACGGTTGTTTCAATTGCGTCTTTATTTCTCTAAAGGAATGTTATGAGCCATGAAATTTTCATCTGCTGTTCTGCTTTCTGCAAACAAGCAGAACACAACTCACGGTGAACAAAATAAAATGTGTATAAGGGTAAGATGTGTGACTGGAAAGGCAGAATAAGGCAGGTGGTCTGTGAACTCCTGTGCTTGTGAATATGAATGAGACGTGTGTGTTGGCTCAGTAAACACATATTTGAAAAGAATCCTGATGACTTGTGTTGGATCCCAGTGACAGACGCGTCTCCCTGCTGAGTGATGGGGCACGGCAGAGTTCAAATGAGTGTGTGTCTGGACGTCAGCGGCTTTTTCCTCTCGGCTGAAAAGGGCAGGTGTTTCCTGTAGAACAGCTGTTTACAAACGAATATAATTTCCTTTATCTCCTTCACTTTTGCCACAATTTTTTTAGACTAGAGGAGGGGTGTCCAAACTTGGTCCTCGGTCCTAGTTCCAACTTGCCTCAACGCACCTGCTTGTACGTTTTTAGCATGCCTTATGATCTTCAACATCTAATCAACATATTGATTAGCTGTTTCAGGTGCATTTCATTGAGATAGGGACAAACTCTGCAGAACAGTGGACCTCCAGGACCGAGTTTGGGACACCCCTGGACTAGAGTTATGTTATGATATCCAAATATTTTTTTTCTAATATATATATATATAAAAAACTGGATACATTTTTCAATTTTGTGTCCTTTTCTGAGAGAAAAAGTCCTGAGGGGAAACTTTTTGTTTTGTATTACATTGTATCCTATCAAATAATTACTGTACAAGTAGGAAAACGTCTGTAGTCTAAAATTTGACATTATTTTGTTTACATGAACGTCAAGCTAACGTGTGCTTGGAATGCTAGCAAATCGACGCACCAGCACCAACATGAAAGATTCACCTCCAGCAAAATGAATGTACGACCAGGGCTGAAACATGACAACACTAAAAGTTGTCACGTACACCACTAACTGTAAAATGAGCGCTGTTGATCTAGTGCGATGGCAAATGGGCTAATGTATAAAACCCAACCAACTGGATAAAAATAATCCAGCATGTCTTATGTCCAATATTTACCCAGCACAGGGTTGCCAAATAACCCAGAAATGGCTGTTTTTAACCCATCATTTTTTAGAGCGAATCTTTTCAAAGACATTAGTATACTTTAATAGTTTTATCCAGCAAATATCGATTAAATTGACCAAAAGGGACAGTAAAGAAGACTGTTATGATGTTACAAAATAGTTCAAATTAATAGAAATCCTGAAATAGTGTGTCAAAAGTGTCATGGTTTCCACAAAACTAGTAAACCATCTGTTTTTGACATTGATAATAAAGATATTATTAGCACCAAATCAGCATATTAGAATGATTTCTGAAGGATCATGTGACATTTTTTTTGGTGCTAAAACCTTGGTGTCCCATCCAAAAGTTCCCATCCAACATCAAAAACATTCAGATGAGGAAAAGATTGACCCCCATCACTAGGTACCAAAAGCCTGTGTGGCCCAGCGAATCCCGCACACTTACACATAACACACAAACAAAGACATTCTCTACACTCAATCCAAAATCAAGCTGTTCCAAAATGTATATGATATATGTATGTGTGTCCTATGTAGGGATGGGTACCGAAACCCGGTATTAAACGGGCCCCGGTACTGAATTTTGAAAGACCGCTGTATCGATAAGCTCGGACGTTACCGGTTCTGCTGTCGGTACTGGAGAAATTAAGTAAATACACGCAAGTTGGGCTACTATTTATTATTCCTATAAAGACGTTATCTCGAACATGTTTATATCACCAGCCATTTCTATATATAAACTATATTTTAATTAAACCATATGTCTGTGATGCAAATTTGCAATTCGCAGTTCAGAAGAGAGAGAGAAGAGAGAAGAGAGAGAGAGCGATCTCTCACGCAAAGCCACAGCACGCGCAACACGACAGCCCTTGCTTAATGAGTGACAATGAGGACAGAACTAAACATCCAACGTGGTTACACTTTAGATCTGGGGTATTATTCTAATATATTTTGTATTTCGGCTTCCAAAGATTATAAAAAGAAGATATTTGAGATAAAACCGTTAAACGAAACGATCTGTCCAGCTTAACTTTCTTTACTTCACAGCACTGCGGAGCGTTGTCAGTTCTTCCTAAAACCCAAACGTAACCGTCAGAATCAGCACGATCGGCGATTGTTGCAAAGTGCTGTCTTCTACTGTTGCAAGATCAAGAAAATAGCTATTAAAAACACAAAAACCTGCGCAAGAGACGCTGTTCACAAGGCGGTGCACGCTCCGAAACGGACTGCAACGAGACAAGAAAAGTAACCTATATACTTGGGCTTTGTGCGTCCTTAACTATCAAATATACATACAAATGTCAAAATGACCAGCTCTGATATTCACTTAAACACAGTTTATTCACTTAAACACAATTATGTCTTAAACGGACGTAAATAATAGGGAGAAAATGATGGTGCATCAGTCCCCATTATCTGCACTCGGTCTTAAAGGGGCAGCAGTCTAATAGCCTAAACCTGCTGACGATTCAGCCATTAATGCAAATCAAACAACAAAAGGCAGAGAAAATCACTCACAGCCTTTGAATGAGTAACTTTAGATTTAATAAGCATTATTCTATCTATGATAAACTACAGTGCTATTTTATATTTGATTAATAGGTTTCTTTTCAGACAGAAACAATTACCTGACAAGATATGTTAGTAGACCTTCCTGAAATTAAAGCACTTTGTATATAATTTGTACCTTTGATTAATTGTATTCTTGTGTTTGTACTTGTTTTTTTTTCTTATGTGTCCTTTTGTATAAACAAAAAAAAAAGCCTGCACATTGCTGCATAACAAAAATATATTTTTCTTCGTTTTGCTTTTTATATTTTACATTTCAAAATATAAAGTTTAATAATTATGTTCTTAATTCTTAAAAAAAAAAAAAAAAAAACACCAAAAAAGAACCGATAAGAATACCGTTAAAGTACCGGATCGATAAGCGGTATCGGTAAGAGTAGTAATACCGATAAAACCTTAACGATACCCATCCCTAGTCCTATGTAACATTAGCCTAGCACTCTTTAGTTGTGTTAGTTAAACTCTCTAAAGGCTTCCATCCAGATATGAGGATGTATCACTCCTTTAATGTCTTCCAATCCTATCTTCCTTGGTTTTAAAATAATCGTCTTTGTCTGAATCTCATTCTACACACCTCCAGAACTCTTGTTCAGCCACAAAAACAATGCAAGCAACTATTTGTATCTATCTTAAAGGGGATGTCTAATGTTATTTAATGCATTCTGACTTATTTGCACTGTTAAAGAGTTTTAAAGAGTTTCTCATGCAAAACATGGCCAAAGTAAAAAAATAAAATAAAAAATAAAACAAGTTGGACATATGACAGAGCATTTCTGTGGCAAATACACTCATTCGGGATTCGTATACGTTTTGGAAAGTTTTTTTTTTTTTTTTTTTTTTTTTCAGACATCATAAACGGCCAAATTCCTTGTATGGGCGCTTCTCCTGAAAGAGCTTGCGCAAAGTCGCAGACACACATCAACCAGAGCGAGAGCAAGAGCAACGCCCATCAACGACCACCAATCGGCTTAAGACCGATTAGTTGACTAGCTGTTTATCAAGCCACTGATAGATGATTTTAAAAATAGCACACAGGTCAATGCTCTGACTTCTTTTTCCAAATGTTGGGAACAAACTAGCAGACTATATGTTAAAGGTGTCAGGAGTGGCTGTGTGTTTGGCTTACTTGAAGAGCTCTTGTCTGGAGATTGCTCTGTTGGTGAGAGGGTCGATGGCGTACACCTGCAGATCTGATTTGGAGTAGTCTTCAAGTTCATAACCTTCTCCATGCCGCCGAGGGCCGATCGATTCCACTATCACTTTAGCACCAGGGATCTGATCTTGCACATAGCGCTCCAAAATACTGAAAAATATGATATATGAAATGACTTTATCTTCCTCATATGTTCAAATGCAAAACCCATGATGACAATATTCACAAAACACAAAATGTTACTTTTATTTCTTACTATCACCACTGATTTGCATATATTTTTATTATTTTTCTAGGGAGCCCCATTGATGTATATCACGGCCATGTAATATCAATTTGTTCATTGTTCATTACCATTGTTCATTTGTTCCCACGTTTTACCAAGTCATGGCCATGTTCTATATATATATATATATATATATATATATATATATATATATGATAGCCAGCCACCATTTCTGCACGTTCTACCACTTAAAATCATGAGGAAGGACTTTAATTTTCATCATAGGTACCCTTCAACTATGAGAGACAAAATGAGAAGAAAAACAACAATAAATTCCAGAAAATCACAAACAAGAAATGCATTAATCTCTCAATTGGGTATTTATCATTAAAGATACAGAGTTTGCAATCAAACTGTGAAAATGGCTGCTTGTGGCAGTTCTAGTAGTTATGGAATTCTGGCACTTCTAGTGTTAAGCAGGGGGACACATCTGGCACTGCAGGATTTGAGTCTGGCGGCGTAGTGTGTTACTGATGGTAGCCTTTGTTACTTTGGTCCCAGCTCTCTGCAGGTCATACACTAGGTCTCCCCGTGTGGTTCTGGGATTTTTAATCACCATTCTTATGATAATTTTGACCCCACTTTCCTTCAGTACTACATCTGGGACTGCTGTATATCCTTAGGTTTCCAGAAATCTATATTTTGTAGGACCAATCAAGGAACAGAGGGAGTGGCTGAAAACAATGACGTTGATGTAGCGTGTCAGTTTGAGTTCAGTAGTGGCAGCGGAGAAAGACGTGAGAAAAGCTATAAGGTCCGTTTTTGTATATATATATATATATATATATATATATATATACTGTATATGTCATGTGTGGGGCTCAATAAAAATCATCATCTGATTGTACAGCGAATATTAACATGATGAATAAATACTTAAATATTTTAAAAAGGTGATTACATTTACATGGTAATAGAGTCAATATTTCAAGGGGCAAATATAAGAGTTTGTGAGATTCTTCCTATAACGCATCTGTAAACCATACAAAACATTCACACAAACATAAATCATTCAATTTGTTATAAAAGTATGATATAACAAATTGAATGAATAGCATTGTAATATCTTGGGTTTGATATATATATATATATATATATATATATATATATACTGTATATATATCTGACTAGCATTGATAAAGCGAGCATTTTGTCTTTTATTATGATTACACAGCAATCTACTGAGCAAAGTAGATTTCTTTTGCTCATTGAATTTTGCCAAATGAGCAAATTCTGTTTTACCAATTTCGATGTCCATTTAAATAAAAGCAAGTGGGAAAACAAAGCCTGCTGAAAGTGGAGGGAACACTTAAAGCCACTCAAGGAAACCGGCAAAGCAGAGAAACACATCGAGGGAGGAATTCTCACCTAATCAGCTGCTCTTTATTCTCTTCCACCACAGTGGGCGGCACATTAGAGACCACAACCTGCATGTCCAAGGCATTCACAACGGACACCTACAACCCACACAGAATACAAAATAGATAGAAGATGAGTGATTCGAAGGTGATTCGAGTGGTGTAGTTTATATGCACAGGCTGATCTATTCAATCTATCTAAATATCCAAATACGCATTCTATATATGAAGAGTTCAGATGCAAAAGCCTCTAAGTGCCATTTGAAATTTTCTTCTAGAATGATCATTTTTATCAAGCTTGTATATTTAAGTTCAGTAATTTCACTTAAATGGCAATGAAGATTACCTATTAATTGTCATTTAAGTGAAATTACTGAACTTAAATATACAAGCTTGATAAAAATGGTCATTTTAGAAGAAAATTTCAAATGGCATTTAGAGGCTTTTGCATCTGAACTCTTCATATGTACAGTATATATGAAGAGTTCGGATGCAAAAGCCTCTAAATGCCATTTGAAATTTTCTTCTTTAATGATGATTTATGTCAAGCTTGTATATTTAAGTTCAGTGATTTCACTTAAATAGCAATGATAATTACCTATTAATTGTTATTTAAGTGAAATTACTGAACTTGAATATACAAGTTTGACAAAAATCATCATTAAAGAAGAAAATTTCAAATGGCATTTAGAGGCTTTTTGCATCTGAACTCTTCATATCCAGATATTCAATCTGGATTTTTTATATTTCCTCTGACCAAACAGCAATAGCAATCGTAATAGCAAGTATATCAATACTTGGTTTTTAATGTAATTGGTCAGTAACAGTGTAGCAGCCAAATGAATGATTATAGAATAATTCTACTTCTAATCTAGTGGAATGGCAAACATTAATGCCATGATGTTTAAAACCCTGATACATTGCAATTCGAAATCCCTCTTATTTTATTAGGCATTCATTAGCTCCAGAGATTTCTGGGAATTATACAATTCACTGGCTGCAACACTTCAGGAGATATAACAGCATAAATAATTTAGCTGACACAAAAACAGTTAATTTCTATATTCATTACTGCACTAAGTAGTGCACAAATAGCATATGCTCGTCTGCATGCAAACATTTACTGAAACATAACATATTTACCAAACCATACCGGCACTCTGGAGAGATATTTTCACTTACTAACAGTGCAGATTGTTATGTGATTTAGACTCATTTTAAATTAATTAGACCTAAAATCACTGAAATGTTTTTTTTCTTAAAGCCACATGTTTGAGTGGGATCTCTCAGCTGTGTTTGAATCATCTTTTTACATGAACTGGATTTGGTCAAAGGTCACTCACCACCACATCAGCCCTGCTGCTCAGCCCCTGCCCGTAGTTGTCCGTAGCGATGACCTGAAACTTGAAGTAGGATCGGCGCATGTTTCTGAACATGATGGCGCTCTTGATGATGCCAGTGTACGGCTCAATGACGAAACTGTCCTGCCCCTCGGGCGCGGGAGGGATGATCAGTCTGTAGGCCATCTTACTGTAGTTTCCAGTGTCGATATCTGTAGCCTGATGCACATGAAGTTACATAAAGAAACATATTGATCATGGAAACAAATATCGTTTTGAGAAATTCACTTTTATATAAAATATGTGGGGTGGTGATGGCACAGTGGATAAGACACATGCCTTTGGTGTGAGAGACCCAGGTTTGAATCCACTGTGAGACACCAATGTGTCCCTGAGCAAGACACTTACCCCCCTAGTTGCTACAGAGGCGTGCGACCTCTGACATATATAGCAATTGTAAGTCGCTTTGGATAAAAGTGTCAGCCAAATTCATAAATGTAAATATAACTGAAGAACTGGATTCCTTAAAAGGCTTTTGGAAAGATTTACTAAACAGAGCCAATTAGAGTGAGACCACTATCCCATAAAAGCGCAGATACGAGTGGAACCTTTTGCTGTTGATTTACTGACAATGTGCATATTAAAGGGGTGATGAACTGAGAAATCAAATTTTCCTTGAGCTTTTGATATCTAAGAGGTTATCATATTATAAGAATATCCTGTAAGTTTCAGAACTGAAAACGTCCTTGTTATTCCAATAAAAAGCTTTTATTTACACCAGCCTCTGAAAACGTTTCGTTTTGAAAAGTGGGGAACTATGACGTCGAAGGGGTTAAAACACCACCCCCGCAGAAGAAGATCAACACCTACTTCAACACGGCCGGTTTAGCCCCGCCCACCGATTCGCGCATTACACGCATAGCTAAGTAGCCTAACTTACATGCCTACCTCGTGATGAAACCGGATCGTTCTACCGAGCAATACAGAATATTTTGCAGTGCCTGGTTGTAAAAGAAGACAGTCGCTGCATAAGCTTCCTCTGGATTCCAATAGGACTTCATGGATAAACTTTATTTTTAATGACGTTCCAGCTGATGAGGGTAAAACATCGTCGTCTGTTCGCTTCATTTCACTGAGGATTGTTTGGTAAACAAGACTGGATTTGCAGACCGATTAAGAGTAAAAAACGGTGCTGTGCCGTATATTGGATCTGACAGGAATTGTGCAACACACGGACTCTGGGTCGAACATGTATGGGCGAATCCGGTTGCCATTTGACAACGTTGGACGTTTTCCCCCACATACACCGACGGGTGAGTGAAACTCATTATAATATGCAAAACTGTTATCCACTCACAGCAGTGGGCGTTTATTTCCAAGTTGGGTACAAAATAGCCTATTACTTATTCATTTTGATGTTTTTGAATGCAAAAACCAAGCAAACGTCTTAAGTTGACCTCAGACAACAATATAATAACATTTTAAAAGCCAGTTCATGACCCCTTTAAGAAAGAGAGAAGTAACAGCTCATTTCCATAATGATCAACGCAATTTACCAAAGAGTAGCGCAAATTAAAAAAAAATAACATGGCTTGGCAAATTATATGTTCGGAAAATGTCTTTCTTCATCTGGCATTCCAAATAAATAAAAACACTATTGGAGAAAATGATCTTCTAAGGAGAGAAGTAAGCGCTCTCTGTTCCCTATGAAAATACTCCAGCCATATCATAAAATTGGATAAAGTCCCCTGCAGTCAATAATTTGAACCTTTAAAACTCACCTTTGATAATCAAAAAGACATATTTAAATGTTTTTTTCCTTTAAAAAATGATTTATTCATGCCTTAAAATAGTCTGAATGTAACTCTAAACCCTTGCTTCATTTAGCAGGCCGATACATGAAATTATAAATGTGCAAATTAGTCCCCGCCTCCACTCACTCACACCAGCTTGGACTACTGGATCCGCTCAGTCAACAGTAGTAACTCTGCTACGCAATAGCAAGTGGAAATACTGGTTTAATTCAGTCATAATCTTTGAACAAGACACTGATTCAGAAGAAGAGGAAGAGCAAATTACACCTACAGCCTCATCTACAAGTGGATGTATCAGAATATAAATGTTTTATCCATCACTCTCTACAACGTCGGACACATAACAGTAAATTATATGACTAGCCTTTGGCTTGACTACATTACAGAACAGCTAATAATGTGTTGCTAATGTTACATAAACCATGTTCCTGTTCGCCACCTCATAGTCTCAGCTGACTTCTAAAAATCCTACACTATCTCACGACCAATTCGTACGAATTTGTACGAGTGATTCAAAAGTGGCTAATTCGTACTAATTCATACGACCTCACTCGTACGAATTTGTACGATTTGTCTAAACCCACGTGACAATTATGTTTAGGGGCGGGGTCAGGGGTAGGTCATTCGTACGAATTCATCCGAATTGGCTAATTCGTAAAATATGTACGATTTAGCAAAATCGTACTTATTCGTACGAGTGAGGTCGTACGAATTGTTACGAATTAGCCACCTCGTAAAATTCGTACGAATTCCCGTGAGATCGGGTTGAAATATCAGCATCCTTTGAACATCATAGAAAGTCAGTGAAGAAAAGCCCCGCCCCACCCGATGTATCGGGCCGATATTTGCGTGATATTTTTACGTGTATCGGAATCGGCCGATACGCGGCTGCTACGTTCGCCGATAGTTTTTTCCCGCCATTATTTATAGACAGCCGGCCACCGGCAGCTCTGTGCTGCTGCTGGAGATGCTGCCCTCCCCCACTAGCAGAGTGCAACCTGCTCTTCAAGAGAATGGTAACTTAAACTTTCAAAGGATCTTTTAAATGTTTGACTGCTGAAAAATTGCCAAACACTTTGAAAATGGAAACACGTTGCTCTATAACTGTTATGCGCTTGCAACTATTTAGCTAAGCAAGTTTGTGGGTCCAAATGGAAAATGCAAATGCCTCGTCTATAAATCTTAACTGCTTGCCATTGTGTTAGGGAGCTGCAAATAGCTAAGGTGTAGGCTATCCGTTCAATATGCATTAGGGCTGTCTATGAATATTCTACATTCGACCCGCGGTTGCAGACTAATAACGTTACCACAGTTGCACACTTCACTCAGAGCGCTCACTGTCGGTTCTATATACTGTGAATCTTCAATCACTGAATGAAGCCTGCTATATTTGGGACAAGAGTCGCGACTCGCAACCTTAAATTGCTTGCACAAAACTCTTAATCAGCACTCAACATTTTTTTGTTGTTGTTCATTTAACCGACACGCAGAGAGCATGAGAGCGAGAGAGAGAGAGTGCCTGAGCGAGTCCGGGCGAGACAAAGTGAGCTCTGCGGTCTTGGCCATTAGTTGATTTACTTGCTTTTTAATACGTTGTCAAATGTGTTTAAACTCAAATAAACTATATAGTAGATATGTCTCTTTGTATTAATGTGTTCTGTTATTGACGTAATGTGCGTCAATGACAAAATGCACAACGAGATGTTCGAATGTGTTTTTTTAGAGGGAATATGCAAACGCCATTTGAGCAATTTTGACAGCCCTAGTATGCATACGGGTGCTGTAATGAGCACTGGTCATAGGATTAAGTAATGTCAACGTTGTTCTGTGCTTTTTGTGGGAGATTTATTCAGCGCCCACCAGGCTGAGGTTTGGACGTGTGTGGTGTGTGTCTCCCTCGCCATCGCAGTGATATTAGAGACTTGACATGCTCATTTTATTTTAGTAAAGTATTTTACTGTGCACTTTATTATGCTGGTTGCTACTGTGTGCAACAGTGTAATTATTTAATTTATGCTTAAATATTTATTTTCAGCACTGAACTTTTTTTTGTTCTACCTCATGTTTTTAATATTTGTTAAAAAATGTTACTTGTTCTACTTGTTCTTGTTGTACCTCACATGTTTTTACTATTTGTTAAATATTATTTTTTTGAAGTTAATTAAATGTTACTTTTATTAAATTGAGACCTGTAACATTTGTTAACATCAATATATCTGTCACAGTCTGCGTCTTCACCTGTTTGTCCCGTCAGCAGCACTACACTTCCCAGGATCCTCTCGTCACCCCATCCCGTGTTCACTCCCTCATCAGCCACCTGTTCCTCGTCTTGATCATCTGTTTCACCTGTTTTCACCCCATTATGTTTGATTATTCTGTGTATTTAGTTCCCTCTGTCTTATTCAATGATTGTCGGTCGACGTCAAATGTTACCCCGTGTTACCCTGTATCCCTGCCTGTATTCCGAATTAAATGTTATCTTCCATGTGAATCTGGACTCCTCCTATTCCTTCCGTCTGCACTCCTGCTCTCCTGCACCATACCCCGTGACAGATCGACCGACCACCTAAAAGCAACATGGACGCCGGGAGCTTCCAGGGGATTCTACTCCCGATTCGCCGGCCCCGTTTGATGCTTGTTCCCAGAAAGCCTGCGCTCACCGTCAGCCCTGCCGAGCCTGCGCTCACCGTCAGCCCTGCCGAGCCCGAGCTTTCACCGCTGGTTCCGTCCAGCTCTCCAGAGATTGAATGCTCTTCACCGCTGGTTCCGTCCAGCTCTCCAGAGATTGAATGCTCTTCACCGCTGGTTCCGTCCAGCTCTCCAGAGATTGAATGCTCTTCGCCGCTGGTTCCGTCCAGCTCTCCAGAGATTGAATGCTCTCCACTGCTGGTTCCGTCCAGCTCTCCAGAGATTGAATGCTCTTCGCCGCTGGTTCCGTCCAGCTCTCCAGAGATTGAATGCTCTTCACCGCTGGTTCCGTCCAGCTCTCCAGAGATTGAATGCTCTCCACTGCTGGTTCCGTCCAGCTCTCCAGAGATTGAATGCTCTTCACCGCTGGTTCCGTCCAGCTCTCCAGAGATTGAATGCTCTCCACCGCTGGTTCCGTCCAGCTCTCCAGAGATTGAATGCTCTTCGCCGCTGGTTCCGTCCAGCTCTCCAGAGATTGAATGCTCTTCGCTGCTGGTTCCGTCCAGCTCTCCAGAGACTGTATGCTCTTCGCCGCTGGTTCCGTCCAGCTCTCCAGAGATTGAATGCTCTTCACCGCTGGTTCCGTCCAGCTCTCCAGAGATTGAATGCTCTCCACCGCTGGTTCCGTCCAGCTCTCCAGAGATTGAATGCTCTTCACCGCTGGTTCCGTCCAGCTCTCCAGAGATTGAATGCTCTCCACCGCTGGTTCCGTCCAGC